ATGAACAAAAAAAAGGTATCCGCTTCCAGTCGCAAAAGTTTTCTTTGCAGCAATCTCATTCAACAGGAGTCTGGGTTCCCAGTAATATTCTACCGTAACTGCGACCCAGTCTCATCCCCCACCCCACCCGAGCAAGCCCGCTTCCAATTCTTCTCAACCTTTTTGGATCCTCTACGTTCCAATTGCTTATTTCCAACTAATTATCTTCTCATTACGCGAGACTTTCGCTTCAAACCATGGTCATTTCCGGTTCTCTTTCTCTCTCTCTCTTTCTCTTTCTCTCTCTTTCTCTCTCTCTCTCTGTCTCTCTTTCTCTCTCTCTCTCTCTCTCTCTCTCTATATATATATATATATATATATATATTATTTTTGCTTTCTCTCTTTCTTTTCTGCCCTTTCTTTTTACTACAGGCTTCACCCAACCTTTTCGCAACTCGTTTTTCACAAGGATTGAAAAGGTTTACTTTTGAACCCCAAACACCGCTTTGTTAAGTGGCCCTGCATTCCCAATTTCAACCGTTATAATTAAATACGTTGTTACACTCTACTACAACGTACTAAAACTATATATATATATATATATATATATATATATATATATATATATATATATATATATATATATATATATATATATATATATATGGTTTTATGGTTTATTTCATTTTACGTCATATCAACCTCAATGGGTTATTTAATATCGACAAGATTTTTAGGACAGGTTCGTATGAATAAAATATGTATTCATGATAAGAAATCAGTTTCTAGGTAAGGTTTTGGGTTTATTTCGTTTTACAGCATATCAGCCTCAATGGGTTATTTAATGCCGACAAGATTTTTAGGATTGATTCGTATGAATAGAATATGTATTCTTTGTAAGAAATCAGTTTGGAGATGAGGTTTGGTTTAATTTGTTTTACGGCATATCAACCTTAATGGGTTATTTACTGCCGACAAGAGTTTTAGGATAGGTACGTATGAATAGAATATGTATTCTTTGTAAGAAATCAGTCTGTAGATCAGCTTTCATTGACGTATTTTTGTAAAGAGGGTTTTTGTCGAGAATCAAATGTATTGCTGGTAATTTTCTTTTTTCAAAAAGATATTGCTGGTATCTTTACGATAAAAATATATTTTTTATACTTTCATAATGTTTTGAACACAGTTTGGGGGTTTAACTATTTGCCCATAGCTAGGACCCCTAACAGGTGCTACCACGACCTTTCGACTGTTGTACCGTGCGACCTTCTTCAGGTGTCTTTAGACGAAACTCAGTAAACGTCTCAGGACCCTTTTAATAGTTCTAAAGCTTATGGGGAGATTTTGCATCAGCTAAGACCCTCCAGTCTTCTCTACCCTTGTGTCGCTTGTCCATTTCTTCCACTGAACCAAAATACATTACTTTTCAACACTACCAGACCCAGAGATTGAACTCACAACGCTCAGTGGACCAGATATGTGCCAGCTCAAGCTTTAAGCCCTTGAGCCATGTTTCACGTCGACAGACACTTGCAGAAGGCCTGAGGGTATAATGGCCGAAACGTTTTGGGTATAACAACCAAAGTGAACATGCTGGTCCCGATAATAAAGCATATCATTTTATTATAATAGAGTCGCGCAATACAGGCCCGAGAGCCATTCAAGATAGATGATTATTATAAAAATGTTTAATTTAGGGTGATATGTGAAGAGGTGATGATAGAAAGTGAAAATTGTGATTAATCTTTGATTTGAAGAGATTAAAATTGTAGTGTTCAGAGAAGCATCCCACAAAGAAATTTCTGCTTAAATTTCGAACACGGAGGAAATGAGGATGATTCGACTCCATGGAAGAGGCATGTCGTGTCCTAGCTGAAAAGACCAGTATTTGGTGAAAAATAAAGTACGAAATAGATGATAATTTCTCATCTAAAGATTTCCAACATAAATTGAACCAATTCTAATGTTGAAAAGATCACTCCTTTATAGTCAACCTATGAACTTTTCAGGCTACCTTCGTATCTGGAAAGAAAAAAAGGTAGTTTTAAATAAGAAGTGTTGAAATTAATGCATGCAAGATGTCACAGCTCTAGCATCACTCTTTTATAGTCAGCCTATGAACTTTTCAGTCTACCATCGTATATATGTGACACAACAGACAGACATTTTTTTAAGCATTTCACCCCAAGCAAGTCGGGAGTGCCACAAGTACGCAAGGGGCTACAGAGAGTGTAAGTAAGGGTACAGGATAAAAAGAAAAATGAAGAAGAATACAAAGAAGAACGGGGATCAAGATAACAGAAGATGTCGATTGACATTACATTTAAATTTTTTAAGATTATAGTTATCAGGCAAGTAAGTAAGAGGGAGGGAGTTCCACTGTCGGGAAGTGCGAGAGAAGAAGCTGTTGGAGTAGAAGTGGCGGTTGCAGTTAGGTATTTCAACAGTAAAAGCGTGGACATAGATGCCAACCTAGTAGCACGCTTAAATTCATGCAGTCGGGACAACAGTGAAAATAGCTCGTCAGAGCAGATGCCATGAAAATATTTGTAAAAAGACATAGGGAAGCCACATCACGTCTGTGAGAAAGTCGAGATGCCATGTCACGACCTATCACATTGCATATCCGTCTTTGTATTTTGTCGCGAACCTCGAGAAAAGCAGCGGGGGCACCAGACCATATATGGCAACAGTATTCCATGCATGAACGGGTGGTTGATTTATAGATTTGGAGGATGGACTCGGGGGAGAAAAACTTTTTGGCGCGTCCCAGAGAACCAACTTTCCTTGCGGTAGATGAAGCTATTGATTCAATGTAGTTGTTCCACCTCAGGTCAGTGGAAAACGTGAAACCAAGAAAACGCAGTGAGGCGCTCACGTGGAGTTGAGCATCAATCATGCTGAGAGGAGACAGGGATGTTTGTCTATAGGAGTAAATGACAGCAGTTTCATTTTGGATGCATTCAAAACCATAAGTCATTTCCTGCCCCAGTCAACAACAGATTGGAGGTCGTTTACGAGACCAACGGCCGGGTTAACTTTGCATAAAATAAGAAGCCTACTTTCAGTAAAAATGTTTCTCGTAGTTTAGCAATGGAAAGTGTTAGCCGTGGACATTTTGTCCATTTCCAAGAGAAGTAATTACTAATTTGAATTTTTCTTTGAACAGTCAGATGGCAGTTGACATAGAAAGAAACAATGTATCACTCCTTCATAGTCAGCCTATGGACTTTTCAGCCTATCATCGTACCTGGAATGAAACAATGTAGTTCTAAATAAGAGCTGAAATTAATGGATGCAAGATGTCACAGCTCTAGCATCACTCCTTTATAGTCAGCCTATGGACTTTTCAGCCTACCATCGTATCTGGAAAGAAACAATGTAGTTATAAATAAGAAGAGTTGAAATTAATACATGCAAGATGTCACAGCGCTAGCATTACTAGTGTCAGCCTATGAACTATTCATCCCACCCACATAAGTATCCTTCTTCGTTTTATTTTCCTGAACACTTCGTCGTTGCTCACATATTCAGTCCATGGCTTTCTCAGCATCCTTCTGTAGAACCTCATGTCTCTTCTTCATCTGAGAGGAGATTGTCCAGTGCTCCTTGCCGTATTCGAGGACCAATTGTTAAATTAAATTGTTTTTTTTAACTATTTTTCCTTTTTTTCTCTCGTTACTTTAAATAACTTTTATGGCGCAATGGCCATAATTACGATGTATTTAAAAAAAAATGAATACTGTCTAACGTTGTCTTTATTTATTTATTTTGTCTTTTATTGCTGAGTCGTTAATCCTAACACAAACCAATAGTACGAATGACAAAGTGAATTCAAATAAGTCGACTAAAACCTGACCAAATATAAACTAAACAACTTTATATTGTTTTCTGTGCGACGTGTTTAGCAATTTCAATCATTCATTTTCTCATCTTGTATAAAAAGTTGCAGTGATTAACTTTTTCACATATTTTTTCTGAACTTATTCACTTGTAATTTAATTTCAGCTGAAGCATGAATTTTGAATTTTACACACCAGTGAATTCAAACAGAAAAACACATTTCTGAAAAAAAATATTAAGTTTTGAAGACGTGTAATTAATTTATACGACCAACAACAAAATTAAGAAAGAAAAGAAAAAAAAAAAAGAAGAAATACAGGACTTACTGGTTATCCAAACATCTGAAGGCAGGGAGTTGAAAAAAGTATATTCGGATAATTAAAAATTCCAAATAGCTGAATGCATAAATCATCGAAAATGAATTACGAAAAAAGACGTTTCCTCAAAGAAATTTCACATTTATAACATCAAATAAAATTTTCAAACGATTTGCCAGTTTATTTTAATGCAAAAAAAAAATAAATAAATAAATAAATAAAAAAATTAGCTTTTTAAATATCTCTGTAGATGTCCCTATTTTATATTTTGCCATGGGATTTGGGGGGAATTTTCTTCCGGAACCACGTCACAAACATTGTAATTTCACCTCATTTTTTTTATTTTTTATTTTTTTATTTTTATCATTCGAATACGAGGCGATTTTGATTTCAAATCGCAAGATCACGCAAAATAGCAAAAAACGAGATTCTCACTGAATAAAATGTCTCGGGTCAGTCAACAAATGTTGACATCGATGTTCAGTTCACGTCCGGATAATGAATGTCCGGAAATGGAGCTATTGTACTTTGGACATTTTGTTAAAAGCTTTTCCCACCATAGTGTCTTCTACTACATCCGCGTGACGCTTCGAGATACAGGGAAGAGTAAACAATGCTAATATTGATAGTAATATTATGGGAGTGAATTACTACATACATCAATATACATACATACATACACACACACACACACACACACACACACACATATACACATGCATATATACATATATACATACATGGATACATACTTACATACATATATATACACATATTCACACACACACATATATATATACATTCATACATACATACAAGCATATATATATAAACATACATATATACATACATATATACATACATATATACGCACATATTTACATACTTACACATATATATATACATATACACACTCATATATGCATATAAACATACATATATACATATATATACATACGTATATACATATCCATACATATATATATATATACATATATATATATATATATATATATATATATATATATATATATATACATGCATATATACATGGATATATAAGTGCTACATACATACATATATACATACACACACATATATACATATACATGCATGTATACATACTTACATATATACATGCATATATACATATAATGCATATATATATATATATTTACATATATACATGCATATATATATATATATATATATATATATATATATATATATATATATATATATATACACATATTATATATATATATATATATATATATACATGATTATTTACATATAAACATATATGCTCACATACACATATAAATATATATACATAGATAGCTGAAGCAGCAG